ATCCTGCCAACAAACCCCGCAGATCGGCGTTTTCTAGGGTTGTATCCATCGGCTCCCCCGCACCCCACCCCACATTTTCCGGGGGATCGGTCAGCGGGTAAATCATCTCGAGGAGGAGAACAGGGTGAAGACCACTTTCCTGGAAAGCTTGCCTGGTTTTTGCTTTGTTGGGAGCTTACGGGAGGGAGGGATCGAGCCCTAAAATAACTCTCGTTCAGAATTACCTTTTGAGAGTTACTTGCTATGCTTAAGATCGGGGGGCATTATCCAGATCTGTTAGGAAACGCCTCGCCCCCATATCCAGTCCTCACAGGAAGACTGGATGGGAGTCTTCACGGTTGTGGAATGAATAAATGAGTGGTTGAGGCATGTTTTGTTTTTTACTGGCCAAGAATTTGAGGCCGCAGTAATTGAGTAACTTACCTGAGTTCACTGCCTCTTTGGTAATGAAGCTGGATTCTAACCTGCCTTGGCTTCCAGAAGGAGAAATCTTCATTGAAGGACCATCCACAATGGGCCCGTTCCTTACCTTCCGCAGCAGAGCTGCTTAGGACATGCTTCTCTGGGTCATTTCCATACCGGAGTCTTTCTGGCTTGGTATTCAAAACCAGACACCTCCTCCTTCCTCCCTGGAATTAGTAATTTTCTAGAAGAATGTTAAATTGATGTCACTTGAGAATAAAGGCTACTTTTCAGTTTGTGATTTATAATTTACAACCCTCTTACTTTGAAGTATACCTGGGATAAGGTATCCCGTGGGTGCCTTTCAACACTGGGCAGTGAAGATGATTTGAGCCAGTCTTTCAGATAACTCCCTAATTACCAGAAGAACAAAATGTGTCATATGTAAATGGGATCTGTGGCATTTTATCCCTAAGGATTGGTGCCAGTGTGATGTGCTACTCATAATAGCAGATTGTGGACAATCCCAGGGAGAATCAGGAAACAGGAAATGTCACATCCATTTTGTCATGTCGACAACATGTGCTAAACCCAACCTATTCTACTCTAAACTAGCTTCCATTTAGTGACTAGCATGAATTGGCATGTCACTCAGACATGAGACAAACTACAGCATCATTATCACTCATAACCTACCCTTTTTTTTTTTAAATGCTAGTCCTGGGGCTTGAAACTCAGGACCTGGCCATTGTCCTGAGCTTTTTTTGCTCATAATTAGCTACTGCTTGAGCCACAGCTCCACTTCTGACTTTTTTGGCAGTTGGAAATAAGAGTCTTGCATGCTTTCCTGCCTTGACTGGCTTAAAACTGCAATCCTTAGATCTCAGCCTCTTGAAAAGCTTGGATTAGAGACATGAGGTGCCTGGTATGTAATCTGTTCTAGAACCAAAAATTCTCTTTAAGTCCCCAAATTTAAGGTCTAATCCTAATGTGTGGATCATGGTTGCATTCCTAGAAACTGAAATCCACACTCCCACCTTTTCAGTCCACTCTTTACATGTTAGCCAGCTACTCTCCTATTCAAAAATGTCTGAGGAGAAGGAAGCATGGCTTCAATGATTCTGCTTGCCTAGCAAGTTTAACAGCTCAAATCGCCAATAATACACACAAACACACAAAATCTAATGATAGTATTTGCTAACTGAAATCTGAAGATATTTAACTAGTTCCCATTCACATTTATATATATTTGTTATAAAAATATATAAATATATACTTATATATTTATGTAACTAATCTATATATAAATGTATATAGTATATAGTTATAAAATATATAGTATATATTTATATAAATATGTGTATTCCTGTATAAATGTAAACTATGTATATATAAATATATATAAACCTACATATTTTTTTAATTTAAATTTTAATTTTTTGTGAACATACTGTACAGAGGGGTTACAATTACATGGGCAAGATAATGAGTACATTTCTTATCAAGCATTGCAGCCTCCTCTTTTGTTTATCCTTCACATCCCTTCCCAGCCTCCCCCCCACCAAAGTTGTAAAGTTCGATAAACCTACATATTTTTTGTGTTCGTATGCTGGTCCTGTGGCTTGAACTCAAGGCCTGGGGTCTATCTCTGATCTTTTTTGCTTAAGGCTAGTGGTCTACCATTTTGCCACAGCTCCACTTTGGCATTTTGGTGGCTAATTGGATATAGAGTCTCAGACTTTACTGAACAGGCTGGATTCAAGCAGTGATTCTCAGAGTTCAGTCTTCCAAATAGCCATGATTACAGATGTGAACCACCAGTGCCCAGCTTAATTTATTTTGTACAGAAGAAACACCATAGAGAGTTTTACTCTATACAATGGTATTTCAGTTAGTCTTTCCTTAGCATATAGTCACTTAATTTTTAAGGATATACACCCTCAGTTATGCATCATTTGAGTTTCACACAGAAGACTTGGCTTGATGTAATAGGAACCCTCAAATATTTAGTTCCATTTAGAATTAAATACATTTGGAATGAACAGTTGACTTAAAATCTCACTAGTAACATATTAGATGTTGACATTTATGAGTCGCTAGAAACACCCTATTTCATTATTCTAGAATATTGCCTCATTTATTTTTGTTTACTGATTTTATCTTTTAATTTACCAACTTAATGAAGAAATTCCACTTTATTTTATAGTTTGATTATAATGTTTGCCTGGGAGGGTGTTGACTCACTGGCTAGCACTTCTAAACATCTAGTGGTGATTTTATTTATTACTTGTTGGTAGTAGTAGAGCTATAACTAAGAGCCTTGTGCATTTTTAACAAGTGTTTTGACTAGTGGTATTTTAAAGATACTGAAATGCGTCAGTGAAGCTTTTGAGTTGCAACTCAAGATACACTTGTGCTTTCTTTTTTCCTAACTCTGAGAGTTGGGAAAATGGAGGAGAAGGGAAAAGGAATAGGTTGGACTCGATCATCAACACGCAAGGACAGTTTATTGAGGAACAGCGAGGGGTACAGACATTCCCGTGGGTTTGGAGGTTGTGGAAGGGAATTGGAAAAGGGTTTTTATATGCGGTCTGAGCAAGGAGGCAGAGGTTAATGAAAAAGCCACTAGGCCAAGGGAGGTGGGGGCTTTCCAGTTGGGCTCACAATGGGATGTTTACAGCTGGGCTTGGGTGGGTTGTCCTGCCCAGCACATCAAACAAGTTCACACACACCTGGGGTTTTGCCTCGCTTCTGTATGGACCTGGAATAATAGGATGGGGGTCAATCCTTCATATTCCATCTTTAGATACATAAAATGATTGGGCGCAGAGGGGAGAGGCAAGTCCTTCACTGAGGAGGGTGGATAACTTTATATATTTTAGGGTCAAATGTAGAGTCCTACTAATTGATTGGATTTGTTAAGCGAGCTACGAAATGGATGGGCCTTGCCCGGAGTCAGTGGCTCACTCCTATAATCCTCAAGGAGGCGAAATCTAAAGGATCATAGTTTGAAGCCAGCCTGAGGAGAAAAATTTGTGAGACTCCATCTCCAAAATAATTGACAAAAGCAGGGATGGCAGTGTGGCTTCAATGATGCAGCCAAGCAAGGCCCACCGAGTAGCATGAGGCCCTGAGTTCAAGCCTCAGTCACCGCCCCTACCCCCCCCCCAACTCCCACAAAAGAAAAGAATGAGGCTAAATAAAGTCATCTAAAAAAAAAAGGCCTTTAGCGTTTAGTCCTTATGTTTCCTTCAGATCCCTAATGGCCCAAATCATAAATTCCCAGGGCTTGGCTGCTTTCAACAACTAGCGCCATATCCTCTACCTTCTCTTCGTGATAATTTTTCCTCCTTTGTGTAGTTGGAAATAAATCTTTCAATGAATCCTCCCCTATAACCAGTATAAACTAATAAGTAAATATTAATAAGAAGAAGCAAATGAATCTTTTCCTAGAACACAATGAATGGTTATGTTACCTTTGTTGTTGGTCTCCCTTTGCAGCCCCAGATTCTCAGTCCATGTGCCTTAGCTTCAGTGCTGAGATTATAGGCATATATGACCATGCCCAGCTAACAGTTACCTTTTTTGTTTCTGTCGGTCCTGGGGCTTGAACTCTGGGGTTGGGTGCTGTCCCTGCACTCTTCAGCTCAAGGCAAACACTCTACCAGTTGAGCCACAGGAGCACCAACTCCAGTTTTCTGATGGTTAATTGGAGATAATAGTCTCACAGAATTTCCTGTCCAGGCTGGCTTTGAACTGCAGTCCTCAGATCTCAGCCTCCTGAGTAGCTAGGATTACAGGCATGAACCACTGGTGCTGGGCAACAGTTACTTTGGAATAAGGTTATTTGGGGTAATTTTTTTTTCCTGGACATAAACCAAATAGTGGCTCTGATACAAGGCATGGTGTCAAGACAGTGAGGAAAAGGCTATGGGAACTTACACAGGTCATATTGAAGATGCATTAGTATGGGGTTGGGGCATAGCTCAGTTTTGGAACATATGCTTGGCAGGACTGAAGCTCTTGGCTCAACAGCACTAAAAATAAAAAGCTTGTGTCTTACTGAGTGCCAGTGGCTCATGCCTGTAATCCTAACTACTCAGAAGGCTGAGATCTGAGGATCTCGGTTCAAAGCCAACCTGGGCAGAAAAGGCTGTGTGACGCTTATCTCTAATTGACCACCAAAAGCTTGAAGTGGAGCTGTGGCTCAAGTTATAGAATGCTAGCTCTGAGCAAAAATAATCTCAGAGACAGTGCCCAGGCTCTTTAAGTTCCAGCCTCAGCACTAGTGCAAACACATACACACACACACACACCACCACCACCACCACCAACAACAACAAAAAACAAACTTGTGTCTGAAAAATATAGTCCAGGCTTCAGTTGTCAAAAGGGACTTCTAAGATTTCTAGTTCTTAAAAATTTCCTTCATATCAAAACAGCTGTTTTTTTGTTTGTTTTGTTTTTCTCAACACTTGGCTACCTGAAATGATTTTCTTATTTTTTTTTCTTCTTTTGTGCAAGTCCCAGAGCTTGAAGTCAGTGTCTGGGTACTGTCTCCTAGTGTTTTTGCTCAAGGCTGGTGCTCTACCTCTTGAGCTACAGCTCTACTTCCAACTTTTTGTTGGTAATTGGAGATAGGGTTTCATGGGACTTTCCTGTCCAGGCTGGCTTTGAACCTTGATCTTTTGATCTCAGTCTCATGAGTAACTAGGGGTACAGACGTGAGCTCATAGTGACAGCTGAAATGATTTTCTTTACTGGTTTACTTATGTATCCCTATTACAATGTAGGCACTGTGAGATAAGGAACAGAAAGTATTATTTTATACTCCCAGGATGATACAAAGACTCAATACATATTTGCAGAATGAATGAATTCAATAAGTCCCCATACAAACATGCCTTGTGTACACAATATTGAGTCATTTAAAGAATTTATGGGGAGGAGTTGGAGGCATGGCTCAATTGGTAGAATGCCAGCCAATGAAGCATCAGGTACAGGAGTTCGAGTCCCAGTCTCAGATCTAAAACAAAAACAAAAACAAAACAGCTTATAGGGAGCAAAATATTTAGAGCATTTATATAAATGATGTAGAATGTTTCAGGGCTGAGCCAGGAGCCAGTGGCTTATGCCTGTAATCCTTGCTAATCAGGAGGCTGAGATCTGAGGATCATGGTTCAAAGCCAGCCTGGGCAGGAAAGTCCAAGAGACTCTTATCTCCAATTAACCACCAAAAAACTGGAAATGGCTTGA